GGGTTAACCATAAACAGCCAATCAGTTGTATCAGCTAAAGAAGTAAAATATTTTAAAAAAACTACACTAAAAAGAATGAAAGGTCACATCATACATCTGAAAGAAGTAGGATTCGGCCTTCGACCAGGCTTAGAAACCGAAAGTAGTGGATTAGGTTACGGCAAGATTTAACATTACAAAACATATAGGTTTGGTTTTAGGTCCTTTGGTCCTTTGAAACTGTCTGCCACAACGAGTTGTGAATGGCAGGTTGAATGAATACAAATTTCCACTATATGAATTAGTGAATGAAGTTGTGTCTCAACCAAGCTTCTTCATCCTTTAAAATTGCCGCCGGATACCTCAGGGGTCTGATCTAAGGCCAACACCCTTCTTAATATACTTAGCCCTCTCTTCGCTAAATAATTCACTGTAAATGGGTACTGTAATGTATACCACATCGCAATTTAACGTTCGTCCTACAGGCCAAGCGCTATAGCTAATTATTTGAATTTGGCTCTAAAAGGAATCAAACGGAAATAAATGGAAATTAAGTGCTAATAAAACTGAATCGATATGCAGGCGGCGAGCATCTCTTGTCAAACAAATCAGGTTTACTGGGTTCCATGAGTAAAATTCCTCTATGCTAAATCGTCTGCAGTTGCGAACCAACGTAACATTTGTCATCGATTAAGGGGGGGGAGAGAGAGAGAGAGAGAGAGAGAGAGAGAGAGAGAGAGAGAGAGAGAGAGAGAGAGAGAGNAATATATTGTTAGTTATATTCAACAGATTTGATAGGAAGAAGAGAGAGAGAGAGAGAGAGAGAATGAGAGAGTGAGAGAGAGAGATAGACAGAGATGGATAGATAAATACATATACAGATAGATAGAAATTTAGATAGATAGATAGAAACGGATATCTCGGAAATTAGATCATTCGTCAGTTGGCTCTTTTGCGAATCCGTCATTGGGGCGACAAAAAATTAATGCGAGTGCTTCACGTTTCAAAACAACGTTTAAAAACTTTAAAATCCTCAAAGGTGGTATCTAAGCCCACCCTCCTTCCAAAGCTCGCTCACTCCATAAAAATTTAACAAAGGTCTAGACCCTCGTCTTCGTTTTTGCAACCAACAAAAGTCGCGCTCAAAATCCAACTTCTCTCGTCGACGGAAACTGGCCAGTGACTGACTGTAAACTTTAACTGAATCCTGACCACACAATTACAGACTAGTGACTACTGACTAATCTTTTCGTAGCGCCTACCTTTTTCAAAACCTCCCTAGAGGGCTTTACCTGGGACTTAATTTCAAGTGACAAAAAAAAACACGAAATGTGCTGCTTCGAGTTTTGCATAACCTCATTCTAATTATTTAATACAGTTAATCCAATAATTTTTACGATTAATTATTAATTAGTATACTAATTAGCTAAATGAAAAATAATCTTCTCATGGCGTTTCTAAATACCGAACAATTATTAAACCCTGTGTGGATTTACCGATTGCTCTGAATATGAAACAAAACTTCGATTGAAATAAAAATGAATAAAATTAAATCTCATTTTTCTGATTACAAAACTTTTAAATATTCAAGTAAATTATAAGGTTTTTTGAAATGAAAAATTTGTATAACGGGATTCGAACCCAAGATCTTCGGATCCCACCTGACCGAGGATCGTCGGTTCCAATCCCGAATGTGACTAATTTTTATTTCGAAAAGCCTGTATAATTTTAATTTTAATTACAATTAATTAAGGTTTTTAGTTGAGATGAAAAAAAGTTAATGGCAAGCGCGGGATTCGAACCCACGATCTTCGGCTAGATACGCCGCTGCTCTACCACTTGAGCTATCGTGACCTCGATCCACTCGGACATCAACTTCCTATCTCAACCCTACCTTATAAGTTTTATGGCAAAAGGAGGGAAAATTCAAAAAGGTGCGGTTGAGATGGGAAGTTGATGTCCGAGTGGATCGAGGTCACGATAGCTCAAGTGGTAGAGCAGCGGCGTATCTAGCCGAAGATCGTGGGTTCGAATCCTGCTCTTGCCATTAACTTTTTTCATCTCAACTAAAAACCTTAATTAATAGTAATGTATTAATTGGTCAAGCGGTCCCCGAAATTAGTGAATTTAATTTTAATGTATATAATAATAATATACAAATGATAATTTAAAAAATAAGAATTAGTACATTAATATATTTTAAAACAAGTTATTCTTTCTGACAAGTTTGTCTTTAATGTAGAATAGTATTCTTCTAACTTATTTATTTTAAGAACGTATAATGTAATCATCTCCTTAGGAGTGAGCTTTGCTTGCCATGAAGTCAATATATTAATCAAAAATTAGCATCCATTTAATATTTGGACAGTGGGAGATTTCAAACGTTAACTAGATTTGTATCAGACGATCAACAGCGTTCCGTGGCAAAAGAATTTTTTATCAGCAGGTTTACTCGTGGGAAATTTGTATATTGCGTTCGGTAGATGAACTACTGACCGCAGTTTGATCGAAATAGACTCTCGATTTTGAATCCACGCGATTTTGTCCTTTAAACATGACTAATCGATATATAATAAAAGGTCAAACTAAGAATAACGTGTTTATAAAGACCGCGTGGATGAATACAGGGTCGCTGGACGCAAAACGTTATAGGAAAAGGAAATGAAAGGAAGTAGTTAAGATCAAACGAGATAAAAGGTAAAGAGAACGAATAAAACATACAAATAAATTAATAAAGCAAAGAGACTTGGTTTATCGGTAATTGGAGTAAATAAAAAGACAATTTAAATATATACTAAAAATTTAGTATATTTCACAAATCCGTACGAAAATGTTTTATCCTAACTGTTAATCGTTCTATTTATAGAATTCCAAAAACGTTGTGCGCTGGTCGATCAGAGCTTAATTTATACTTATCCCAGTTCGACTAATCATTAATGGCAACCGACAATTTTAAGGAGGAAATTCTGCGTTAAATACCGAGTAAGGATGAAATGGTAAAATATTAATAAAACAATTATTAATATCCTTTTGTCAAACTCTCGCCGGTTAACTCTAGTATTAATTACAAGCTTGTAACCACAGCCGGGATAGTAGTTAAACAAAGGGGAGAGGCATTAAAACGAGTTTGTTTTAACTATCACAGGGAACAAACAGGATCAGTCGACTAACTTCCCCAGTCGTGAAGCGTAAAATATACCCGGCGGAACGTAACGTCATTCCGAGTAAAAACTTTGCCTTTTCGCCCGAAGGAACGTTTGATTCAAATGACTGAATTTGCATCCCATGGAAATACGACTGAGCGAATACATACAGAGAATTGTTTTTAAAACGGAGCAATCAACTATTTCTGATCGGCTGAAGATAAAATCATAGAATAAGAAACTCAGTATATCAACAAACAACTTTAACGCTTTGTGTTGTCCGAGGAAGGGTGCTTCAGAATTGCCAGAATTAGAGTGAGCAGACACTAGACAGTGCGTTATAAGCTTGAAGAATGCGGCATTCTGTTTTATCTATGTAATAGTTAATATGCTAAGAAAGTTCAAGATATAACAGTTTACATCCTGACTTCTTTTACGATGTCCCTACAGTTCAGGAGTAGATCGACGGATATAAAGACTAAATTTCTCGCAATCCACGCTCCTCGCAAAGACAGAACGGACGAAGGAGTTCCACAATTTGTAGGGTAGTCATTGAAGTGGGACTGAGCGATCAGGATCAGGAAGGACAGACGCCAAAAGTTTTCGAAACTGTCGAGGGAAATTGCAGACACAAAAAGGTTTACGACGGACCCGAGATGGTTCACCGAACATCCCGGTCGATGAAACAAGGTTATGCTTCGATCTCGTTAAATTCACATACTGGAGAGTACAAGATGGATAGAAAGCACCGAAGGATGTGAACTTCGAAACACGAAGCCAGGAACATTATTACCTCTACCAACGATTGTGCTTATTTTACAGGGGTTCGCAACAGCAAAGGCCATACCAACTGCGGGGTTGTCAGCGTTTTTGAAAAAGATCCTATTTTTAAATATGTCAGGTTTGAGTGCAAGACCGCTGGATTCGAACCCAAGACCTTGATGAGTGCCTTGTCAACGCCTAACCGTTTGTCTTACTATGTGGTATTTTTTATTAGAAATCGAGGCCCAGGAATAAGCAGGAACTCTTCTAGGGCTAACAGTCTATGTTATCATGGTAGCGCCACTAATGATCTGTTCAAAAAGAACGCACTCTAACTCTGTGGCCCGTCGCAGGACCAATCGTTTGCAGGAATCAAAAGAACAGCTAGTCGGACTCTACAACCCTACCGCGGAGACGACTCGTCCTGACTCCAGGGTACAAGCATGGTCCCGGGGAAAGCGCCACTCTCCAGAGTTCCAAGGGTTTGAGGTAAACGAAACGAACGGCAGACTCCAGTTGAAGCTTGAAGAGAGTAGTACGTAAAGTAATTAATGTGCTAAACAAACCTTGTATAAGATTTAGCGGCTTAAATCCTATTTTCTTTTACGATGTTCTTACAAAAGGTACTTTGGTCAAAAACTCACTTTCTCCTGTGCACACATTTCTAATGTTGGATTCATGTTGGTATGGTATGGTGGAAGGGATGCCGGGAAGCGGGGCTTGTATTCCCCAGGCATGGATTCATGTTAATAGAAAAGTTAAGTTTTAATTTTACAAGCATTGTTAATCCGACAAGACTAATACTTCGCTTTCAACGTCAACGGCGATTGCACGTGACGGAACTGGCTGAAAGAGATTAGTCCATGTCATAGGATTTAAATCCTTCTGATCCAACCATAGTCACGAGCACAACATTTTTCTGACAGGAGACAACGTAGTTTAGGTTCTCATACACTTACAAAGAGATTCTTAGGTGACAACGTCATTTCCGCCAATGGAATTTATAAAAGTCGCTTTTTAAAAATTCTCAACGCATGCTCTTATCTTAAAAAAATAATTTAATAATAATGTGTTTTTACAAACGGGAAAATATAAATAAATCATCCGTGTGTTAAATATAAGCACTATAGCATGGCCAAAGTCCGTCTACGAGAGTCTAACACATTGTGGTGAGTACATTACAAAATTAGTAGCAAGCCAAGGCAAAACTTAATAGCTATGGAATGGGTTCGAATACTGGTTGGAATTTTATTTGATTGTATAACACTTTCTAATATAGGACACCCCCGGGGAGTCAGTCGTAATCATCTCCTGTCGGATTGTATGTCAAGACACCAAAGGGAAAAAACAGTAAGTGTAGTAACCTAACATCATTAAAACTAATTCGCAATAGTTTAACTTTTAAATTAAAAAATTAATCTTTTCACGTTTTCCCCAACTGAACGTCGGGGTTCAAAAGCTCATTCTTACCCAGTGGAAGCGTGAGTTTTAAATAAAGCCGGTTTTCAGCTTAAACGGCCCTTAAGCACGAAGAAGCTTATATTTGAAAAATAACAGGCAACTACGTCATCCAAACTCGATAAAGTGGCATTATCTTTTATTGAGTGTAAACCCGTTTGGTTTAACCCTTGTTCTCAGCTCGTATGCATAAAGCCTTCTAGTTTGGGAAAGGATAGGTTGAATCTTAACTAAGTTTGAAGTTCACCATGGTACATCAATTTCAAGTGGGTCGAAGAATCAAAGTCGTCTTTGGTTTAAGACAATTTTATTTTATTTGTAAGTTTTAATAATATGTATATTAAATTCACTACTTTCGTGGTCCCCTTGACCAAATAATATATTTCAATTAATTTAAAAATGGCAAAAAGAAGGGAATATTCAAAAAGGTAGGGGTGGGATCCGAGCGGATCGAGGTCACGATAGCTCAAGTGGTAGAGCAGCGGCGTATCTAGCCGAAGATCGTGGGTTCGAATCCCGCTCGTGACACTGACTTTTTTATCTCAACTAAAAACCTTAATTAATTGAAATATGTATATTTTTTATCTCTGAAATGATCCTATGAAATGGGTTTGGAATGAAAAAAAATTATTAACTTTAAAGAAGCCAAAATCGACATTTTTTAATTTCTCATCATCATTCGCAATTAATTTTTACTTAAAAAACAAACAATCAGTTCATCCATTAAAATAAATGGAAAGAATGACAAACTGTAAAAATAAATAATCTCATCTTTAACATGTGGTTATTTAGTTTTACAATTGGTAGTCAGGAGGGACAACCATAAATCAAACCTATTTCCAACCAATTTACAATACACTTTTACTCCTCATCAAGACAAGTGACGCCCTCTTGCATAACCTTAGTATACACTTCCTCATCCTCTCCCTCCCTTTTCATCCTTTTGAAGCAAAGTATCACACTTACAAATTCCCTGGACATGATCTAATCATCTCTACCATCCTTCGAAACCCTCACAAAAGGCCATAGTTTTCTGAACCACGATATATGATGCTAGCCTACCAACCTGAAGTATCTCTTATGGAACTATTCCTTCGTCATTCTCATTCCTAAAGCTCACAACCTCCCAACCACATACCCATCAGCCTTCTTCCGGCAATTTCAAATATCCTTGAATGACTCCATTTAAAGCACTTAATACCCATCCTAGATACTCATAAAATCATACCCTTTCTCCAATTCGGCTTATTTACTCATCATTCCAAGATCCAACAGAGTTGTCAACACTATCCTCTGTGGTCTAGGTTTTGCTTGGGTTCGTTCCCAGATGTTGCACATGCCTTTTGATAGGCCTAGTTTATACTTTATACAAGACTGGAACCACTTTGGACTTCTTGTATCATCCAGCGCATCTAAATCTTCCAATCAAGTCCTCAGACACATTGTCAAAGCTCCTTAATACGCCACTATCCCCTCAATCAAATACATCAACATTCCTTTTGTCAACGAAACCGTTACCGATTCCAAAAATTTCACACCAACCGCTCGATCCATCCCTCGAGCTCTTTCTACACATTTCCATCCCGAGAAGAGCCACGTCCCCTTAATCGACGATGACCTAGAGACCTCCTTCCCCATTAATCCCTAACAGTGAGTACCAGCATCATTTTTCATGGCATGTGTCCTTCGGGTGAACGAGCGCTGGAATTATTGTCGGGGCTGTGAGCGTTTGAGAAAAACCTTTCATTGCCACATTTATAATATGTACAGGGTACAAATAAAATAACGAATAAAAAATATTAATAATTTTTGTCCTTTCTTTCTTTTCTTTAAATGAAAGAAGTTGTAGTAATTTTTTTATACACAAAACCAAATATTGTTCAGTAATGTGTGGTGATTAGTGACCGTTAATCGATAATTATTCAGAAATCGTGAGATGCGGTCTGGTGTGATGTAGGTTTCAGAAAAACATTTTCTTTATCGTGCCAACGTTTCGACCTTTATTGAGATCATCTTCAGGGCTCAAAGCGTTTGTCTTCTGTGTAATTGTGCCATTCTTGCGTGTCGTGTTGAGAGTGGCACTTTGAGCCCTGAAGATGATCTCAATAAAGATCGAAACGATAAAGAAAATGTTTTTCTGAAACCCTACATCACACCAGACCGCATCTCACGATTTCTGAATAATAAACGTTCATTAATTAATTATTATTAGAATACATTATTCTAGCAATTAAGGTATACGATGTTATAGCGCAGGAATCTGTGTCCCATGGTTACATCTAAGGAAATGATGTTTTGTAAATAACTTCCTTTATTTGAAAAAATTGTCAATATTAATTTTTTCAAAATATTTTATATTAATGAAATTCTTCTTCTGAGCAAAGCAGATTAATACTTTTTGGCAAACAAAACCAGAGACAATTTAAATGGAAAAAATCTCCAAGAACGGTGAAAATTGATATTTCCCTTAATGAACGCATTAAGGTTATTAAAGAGCAAGTTGAGCCTATGTAAGCATGCCTTAGCTCTTGGACCACTTTTATTAAAAGCTTCCTTATTGCCAGACCATTTACTCTTGAGAACTTGAGCTAATGACACGAAAGTAGCTATTGCTATTATCATGCGCGGATATTTTACGATTCGCTAAACTTTTAAGCGTCTATTAATTCAAATTTTCAAATGGGTTCATTTCTTCGTCTTTTAAGAAGCGCAAACAACGAAGTTGTTTAACAAAAACTTTACAAAATTCAATTTGATCCTATTCAATTTATATGTTTCCCAAACGATAAATAAATAAAATGAAATTACTCTTATAGGGGAAAAATCACAGAAAATTAATGTAAAGCTAGAAGTTCGTGAAGTGTTCAACTTAATATCAGGGAGTGAATAGCTATTTTTAGTTACGGTTTACATAAAAAATCACTATGAAAACACCTGGAATAAATAAAAACGAAACTTTCAAAAAAATATATGGACTGAGCACATTTTTACTATTTTTCAAACTGCTGACAATATCTTTATATATATTTACACTTATATATATTTATATCTTTATATATATTTATCATATATATTTACACTTACATTTACTCACATTTAAATGACGGGTGAATTTCTTTCTATGTTGTCTATATTTATTTATTGTTTAAACATTTCTTATTGTTATCGTGATGTCCTGTTGCTATTTTCTTTGCTACTTTAATTAACTTAACATTAATTTTAAGGCTGTATGCGAATAAACAGGTTATCATTTTCAATAAAATGATATTACGCTATTACCCAGTTCTACAACTACCATAACTACTGAATGAACTGGTCTTGTACAATCCTGTGTTGTATGATCGTAATTTTAATTTTTATCTACTTGAAACCGTAAGTTTAGGGCGGACATTTCGTTATTTATTTTAATGAGCTGATGCTTTATATTTTGACATTCTCTATTCTAGTGTAATAAGTAAAAGCCTTCCCTATGCTGACGATGTAGTCATTTTGGCCACCTCTCCATTCACCTTACAGAGAAACGTTGACGCTTTAAAAAATTAATGCTCTCATTGGGACCTGATAGTAAATTTTAAGCAAAATCTTGTTTTTTCGTACCATTCTGTGACATAGGGGTTTTGACATCTTTGAGTACCTAAGACAAAAGGACAAAATGAAGGAGGAAACAGTGGAATTCACTCATTGGACATAAACAATCCAAGAGCCTCCTAGCAAATTTTAAAAGGAATGATACGACAGAATGCATCAAAGGAAGTTGTAAAAAACTTCGAATTGTAACAAGATTCTTAACGGACACTGATGAATGAATGGGCTTTGAAGAAGATTAATCCAACACGGCAGATCCTGAAAATGTAAACGAACACATCTACTTACAAACGGAGGCACCCGCCATTTTTTATTCACCAGCAGGAGGAAGTGTTTCGGGATGTAAAACATAACCGTAAAAGAAATTCTACCACTGAAACCTGGCCTAATCATCACATAATCAAATTCCTTTATGTAAAGACTCATCTAATATAAGTAAAAAACTGGTATACAATACCTCTTAAGCAATGTAGTATATTGCAAACTCCGAACAGCATATCTACATCTAGTTTTTCGTAGGGGGGAGGAGGATGAAGGGAACGGAGCAAAGATTTTTTATGGTAGACGTGAGTATAAGTATCTGAGGGTGCTCTTCACGCCCAAACTCTCTCTAACCTATCACCTCAGAAAGGCAATTTATAGGGCAATTGCAATCAATTCGATCTAGTCCAACCTTCTCAAACTCTTCTATTCCACCTCATATTAATTTCAAGTAGTGTATCGCCTGATGGTATGATATGCTTCCAAAATTTGGGGTATCAGCGATTCTATCTAGTCAAATCTTTTCAGCGTTTTTTAATTCGTAAATTATTTCATGTACTGAATTGTATGCCTAATTACAACGAGTACTTAGACAAATCAAATGACCATTTGTGAGATTTCGTCTGAGATCTATGGGTGATAAACCTATTATTGATTAATTACCTATCATCTTTCAAGTTTCTTGATGAAATAGGACTCACCGGTGTGCTATATGCACAGAACGGGGAATACGATAGCTCTTAAAGGGCTCAGAATATCACACCCCGACTAATTCATACACTTTTACATCTATCTTCCTGGTGTGTGTCGTAATTCAGAGGCGTTTCGGCATTTCGCAATCTTCAGTGTGACTCAACAGATATCACCCAAAACAGTGAAGATGACGAAATGCCGAGGATAGGCAGTGCAGTATGATAGGTAACTATTAAACAACAGACCTTTTATCCGTTTACACCACGCCGGACACACACACACACACACACACTGCCTGACTACCGACTTCCAAAAATTACGGCGGTTGAAATTTCACTAGCCCATTATTTTAA